CAATGGGGTCGCCGTTCTGTAAAACAGCCTCTTCGACCCCCTGTGGACATAACGCAGAGTACTTTGGTGGGAGACCAAAAGGGACTTCGTTAAATGGAGTTATCTTCATCGCGTCCAAATTCATCGCTTTCATAAACTCCTCTGCATTCCTTGAATTCGCTGGTCTTGCCACAATATAAACGGGCAATACAATTCGCTTGTTTTGTTTCTTCACAGTGCCTTTTGAAAACTCGATGACTAACATATTCGTCATTCTCATGGGAGCGTCTGTCATGTCTGGAGGCGTAGTCATCGGGACATTCATCTTATATGTGAATGTCGACGTACCAACGGGGATGTTATATATCGACGACGACGAGTTGATTCTTTTCGATTGTGTTTTGTTAAGCGAGTCTGACGCAAATGTCGCAAAGAAGACAGAAACTCTTTCTATAGAAGTTTTCGACCGATTGGTCACCGAGAATTTCCCAGTCAAAGAAGCTCCTTGAAATGCCGACCCCACATCGCATGAAATGTCCAAGACGTATTTGTTATACTCTTTTTTCGTGTATACGGGGTCACACAATTCTGTTGGTAAATTAGTGTTTGTGTATATGAGGGGGACCACACAGTGTTTTCCAGTAATTTTCTTGTTTTTGAGGGCGTAAATGATGGGTGTGATTTCGTAGCATATCCCAACAGAATTTTCAAACACGGAAACCCCATGAGTGAATTCCCCAGCGGAAATTCTAAACGCAAATTTGTGTGTCCCCGGTGGTATTTCTGTTATTCTCTCATCCATCACATAATGCGGAGATACAACTTGAAACTCTTTCGACATTTTCACTTTTCGGGATACACTGGACCAACTCTTCTCGTTGGTATCTTCGTCGGGAAGAACTGAAGCTATCCCACCAAGGGTGTTAACACCCGTATATATGACAGAAGAAAGTTCCACTGCTATTGACGTAACAAAAATGGGATCATCAAAACAAAGCGTAATATATCCCTCAATGGGTTCTCCCAGAGTTTGCCCATTTGTGAATGTGACTTGACTGCTTGTGAGCTCTCCTTTTGACATAAAGCCTCCAACTTATTTCGAGTTCGAGTGTGAGTTCCTTTATTCTTCGTTTTTCTGTGGATTTTTTGGTTTTTGAAAAGAAGAAATCAAAATTCCTATGGAAAAACGCTTGTTTACAAGAACTTGCCATTGCCTTAATTATTTCATTAGTAAAATGACCCTTTTTAAATTATTAAATAATCATTAACCGTATTTTTTCAATCTAAGACAAGCATAATTGATTTTCACTTTCAACTATAACATTTAAATCTTGGTTTGGTTACTACAATGCGGCTTTGTTTGTGGGTAAAATTCTTTTTTTATAATACAGACGTTTCAAAATTGTTTATTTTCAAATTCAAGATTTTTTTACAAAACAAATTGAAGTATTATTTACTATAATAACACAACTACCTATCTTAAAACTCAAAACAAAAAGCACAAAAGTGTAAAAATCCAAACGAAAAAAATTAAAAAACGAACAATTTACTGCAAATTTGTCATGTCTGCATTGTCGATAGACAAGTTGGCATACTCCGACTCGAGTTCAAACAAATCCTGTCTTGCATCCGTAAATTCATTCTCTTCCATTCCCTGTCCAACAAAGTGGTGAACAAACGCTCTCTTCCCAAACATGAGGTCAAAGCTTTTGTTGATCTTCCCAAAGACTTGGCACATCGCGGTGTTGTTGGCCAGCATGCACGCACTTCGCTTGGTTGCTGTGAAACAACTGCCCGGGACAGAGGTTGTCGGCTGGTTGTTGACTCCGTACTTGAAGTTGCATGGGCAAAAATCGACAAGGGGCAGGTTGTATGCCGATTTCACTTTGTTGATAGCCAGACTCACGTCATGGGGAGCTACATCTCCTCTATACATCATGCAACAGGTCATAAACTTTCCTTTGGCTATGTCGTCCACTGTTATCATCAGGTTGTGTGGCTCAAATAACCCAGACGTCAGTTCGTACACGTCGAGTGTCTGTCTCTGTGCTTTCTCAGCTGTCACGATCGGGGAGTATGACATCATCGCGAAGTGGTTTCTTGGGAATGGCACAAGATTTGTTGGGAACTCGTTCAAGTCGACGTTCAGTGTTCCCTCAAATCTGAGGCTCGCCGTGATCAAGCTCATAGACTGTGCAATCAGTTGGTTCAAGTGGATATACGATGGGCTGTTTATTCCCAAGTTCTTCTGACATACTTTGTAAATTGATTCGTTGTCAAGCATGAAAGTGCAGTTAACCAAATCCATCATCGCGTGTGTGTTTAAAACCGCGTTGTACGGTTCAACAATACCGCTGCTGAGTTCTGGTGATGGCCAAATAACAGTGTTTAGTTTGGTCTTCTTTCTATACTTATCCGCCAACTTCTCACAGAGCGCAGCAGTGAACCCACTTCCGGTTCCACCACCAACGGAGTTGTAAATAAAAAATCCTTGTAGCCCCGTGCATCCTTCCGCAATTTTTCTGACCGCCTCCATTGTCTGGTCAATGAGCTCGCCATATGTGAATTTGGCAAGTGAGAAATTAGAGGAAGCGTCTTGCATTCCACTGAGCAATTGCTGAGGATGGTACAATTGTGAGTATTCTCCAGTCTTGATGGTGTCAATAACTGTTGGTTCGGTGTCGACAAAGATGGCACGTGGGACATATCTATTGTTTTGGACCTCTTGGAAGAATGTATTATAAGCGCTGTCTGCTATGGTGGACACGGACTGCCGAGACTGTTTGTCCTGAGTGCATGTCCCATCGGGGTTGATTCCATGTTCCAAGCAAAACAACTCCCAGCACTGGTCGCCCAACTGGCAACCGGCCTGGCCAATGTTGATCGAAATGATTTCTCTCATTTGTTTTTTGCAGTCTTTTTTTTCTCCCTTATTTTCTCTCGTTCCGCCTTGCTCTATCTCGTTCAAACATTTATGTTCTTATTAAACATGTATTATATTTATAATTAAATTTATTATTATAGTTGATACAAAATCAAATAAAAACATTTTAATCTCTCATCACTCATTTTCTCCTCTTTCTTTTATTTTTGAGTTCTTTTTTTATTATCAAAATTTCCCGTTATTTTTCTATTACAAATAGCCAATCTATAAGTCACCATTATTGAATTATTTAACTTCTTCTCTTTCCTTTTTCTCTTTCTCACTCAAAATTATTTTGACGTTTTCAATTTTATTTTCAAGTTCTTTTTTAAAAAATCTATAATACATCAGATTTAAACTATAGTCATATTTAAAAAAATATATCATAATTTATAGTAAATAAAAAAAGAGCTATAATTTATAATAAAATCAATTAAACAAATAGATAGATGGAATGGCTCACAATTATAGTAAAAAATCCATATATTTGATACGTATTACATCGCGAAACCACCAAATCCCTTGAAGTTGGTATTGTTTGTATTTCCAAGGGGTGTGTACGCTTGGTAAAACCCATGATTGTACTTTTCTTTCTCGTTTTTGTTCATGATGGATTGGTCAAGAATTGTGTCGTTCTTGTTTTGGAATTGCCCCTTCGAAAAGTAAAACCCAGAGATCTCACTCCTCTCATACCTGTCTTGCGGATTGTCAAGTTCGGAATTAATGGAATTCCAGTCTTCTTGTTGAACTTCATAACGAGAGTTCACATTTGGGTAATTCTGGTATGTTGCTTGTGAGTAGTCTTGGTACTGAGATGTGCCATATTGTTGAGGATTTTGTGGGTATTCCCCTCTTCTTTGAGGGACATAGCTGTTTTCCTCCTGTTGGTATTGTTCGACATAACGAGGTTTTACTGTCTCGTCGTTCCGGTATCTCTCAAATCTCATTGAAATTGACGACCTCTCATTTTCGTTCTGGGAATTTTGAGATTGAAGGGTGGAACGAAAAGACTCTTGGGGCTGTTGTAAATCGGAGTTGTGTAAATCGATAGTTGGTCTGTCCAACACAGGTATGCAATTTTGGTAATTAGCACTTTGTACGTTTGTACTAAAAGATAGTTGTCTTCGATCATCATTCTTCCATTTCAAGTCAGTCTTCGCCTTTTGTAACGGAGCTGAGTGCTCATATTTGGTGTTCCAAAAAGCATCAAAGATTGAAATACGGTGTGGAGAAGAAGTGGAGTAGTACGCAAAAAGCAGTCCGAAAACCAATGCCACGAGTCCAATCAAAAATAACGAAACAACGACTTCTTCTGAAACCATTATTTAATTTTAGTTTCTCTCTTTTTTTTCAATAATTTGTGTGACGTTTTTTTGGATAGATGTTAATTATTTTATTTGTTTATTATATTTTTATTTGTTCAATATTTCTATTGTTTAACTATGTTATAAATTATATAAATATATAATTATTTTTTTATTATATAATATTTTAATATATTAAATTGGAGTTATTTTTTTACACAAAAAGAATGATATTAATAATAATAATATAATAATAATTATGTAAGTATTAATAACTTTATAGTTTGAGGGGAAAAATTATTTTGAAAAATTATGTTTGTTTTTAACAAACATTTTTGGATCATTAATGCTAAATATTTTAAATTTTATTTATATTTTTTAGTGATTAATTATTTTTTTGTTGTATTAAAAAGTTTATAAATTTAATTTCATAAAATTTTTATTAAAAATTTATTTTTTTTTAATTTTATAAATAACAATTTATAATTATATAAATCAACTACTATTAACTATAATTTAAAAGTTATAAAAAACAAATTAAATGTATTAAATTTATAATAAAATATAATAATAAATATAATAATAAATATATTATAAAATGATATATAATAAACCAAATAAATGAACTATAAGTTATAAGTTTACAAAACAAAACTAACAATAACGAGAGATGTTGCTACTTTACGTGATACTTTTGGGGGCGAAATCTCTAGAATGTGATCCTGGAAGTTACATTGACTCCACCGAGACGACTTGCATTTCTTGTTTAGTTGGTATGTATCAGCCCGAATACAATCAGACTTCCTGTAAGAAGTGTCCAATTGGGACTTTTCAAAACGAGACTGGGCAGTCTTCTTGTACGCCATGTATAGCGGGGTATTTCCAAAACAAAGAATCTTCTACAACATGTAAGCCTTGTGGTGTCGGCTCCATCTCAACACAGCCGAATTCGTATTACTGTTATTCATGTGAGCCAGGGACTTACCAAGACTTAACGGGACAAACTGAATGCAAGTCTTGTGATATTGGACACTATTCGAGTACTTATAAATCGACAAAATGCACGCCATGTGCTACTGGTCATTACACTGATGTGAATGGATCGACGAGTTGTATTGAATGTAGTAATGGGACGTATCAAGACAGTACTGGGCAATCAACTTGCAAACCATGTGAAGTTGGGTATGTCTCAGAAAATGGTTCTGCGAGGTGCAAAGGGTGTCCTGTCGGGTCTTTTTATTCCTCGGCGAACACATGCAGTTTATGTGATGCTGGATTATATCAGAACTTAACAGCACAGACCGAGTGCCTTCAATGTATCCCGGGGTCTTATTCAACTCCAGGAAGTTCCAAATGTGTTGAGTGTGATGGGGGGTATTACCAGCCCAATGCAGAGAGTGTTGAGTGTCTTGAATGTTCTTCTGGATATTATTCTGAGAATGGAGCAGTGGAATGTCTTCAATGTCCAGATGGAACTATTTCACAGAGTGGAAGTGCGACATGTGAACGATGTCCAAGTGGTACAGTCAGTGCAGGGAACAACACATGTGTAATATGTCCAGCGGGGACATATGCAGATCAAAGCAAAGAAGATGTACAAAGGGTATGTCTATCTTGTGACAAAGGTATGTCATCGAGTGTACAGTCGGATCATTGTGATTATTGTAGTATAGGTACTTTCAGTGAGAGTGGAGTACAATGTGTTGAGTGTCAAAGAGGGAGTTATTGTGACCGTGTGGGGTGTATTCTATGTACTCCATGTGAGGATGGAAGCGTCCAAAATACTACGGGAAAGGCAAAGTGTGAGAGTTGTATGGGTCTGAATTCAAATGAAGAACACACACTTTGTGTTGCTCAAACAGTCTGTGGGTCCTTCCTTGAATTGAATCAACAAAACAAGTGCGTTATGAAAAATTCGGCTATTATCGTTTTGTCAATCATTTCTGGTCTTGCAGTGCTTTTTATTATCGTCGCTGTTATCGTTTGTATCGTCGTCACTGTCTTGTGGAGGAGAAAGAAATCGTCTGAATATCAAAATCTCGAATAATTTACAATAGTTTTTTTTATAATTTTTTTATTATAATGATAGCAATTCAATAATAAACTAAAATAAAACTAAAAATTATATTATAATTAACATCATTATAAAATCAAAAAAAGTATTATAGAATTTAATTTATTATTAAATGAATTGAATTAATAAATTATTTATTCATTTAATTTCGAAACAATTATAAAACAAAAAAAGTTTATTTTTTTTTTTTTTGATAAATTTTATATTTCTTCCATTTTTAGACGACTAAAAAAGGCAAAAATATTTTTTAGAAAACAAAAAAAAAAGTTGTTTTTTAAAAAAGTGTGCTTAATTTCCCGTTTCAAAGCAACAAATTATCAACAATAAAAACTGTAATGCAGTTTTTGAGGTATTAAAAAATTAATTAAAAAAAAGTAAAAAAAAGGTACTAATAAAGTATGATTGAATAAACTATATAAGTATAGCATATCAAACGATTTAAAAATAATGAGAAAAGTAGGGATGAAGTAAAATGGTGAAATAATTTTACTGAAAATTTATGTTTTAGTAAATTATTTGGTGAAATCTTTTCACCAAATAGAATTATTTAAGGTTTTGAATTTTGGTTTTGTTTATAAAGAATAATTTAATAAATATCATTTTAATGTTTTTGGTTAAAACAATTTATGCATTTTGAAAAAAAATGAAAAATTCAATAATGATTTTTTTTACAATTACCACAATGAGCGGCAATATTCATCTTATTGTAAATATTTTTTACTTATCATAAATAAATTACAATTTACATAAAACATGTTTTAATAAATACTTAAACAATAACAACACTATATTTAATAAAAAAGGTACAAATCAAAAACATATTATTTGAAAATCTAGGATATATATTAAAAAATATAATATAAAATACATTGAGAAATGCTCATAATTAATTTAATTTATTATTATAAGCATCAATTATCGAAATATCATTTGTACAACATCTGAAAGTGTTTTGGATTAATTAACTCTAACAATAATTTGTAACCATCTGTTTATTTTGTTTTGAAAATTCGCTTGAAAATACTTATTATAATTTGAGACATTATATTTCAAAACAAAACAAATGTAATATAATAATTATGAATTTAAATCGTTATATTTTTGATAATTAAAATATATTACCGATGATTATATTATTACGATTTTACCAATCAGACATATTCTTAAAATAATAACAACTTTAATTTATGACTTATTATGTCAAGTAACATTGTTTTGCAATATTTATTGAAAAAAATGTGACATAAAACGCATATTTTTAAAAGACAATATTTCTTTTATTATATGAAAATAATGTTTATTTAAAATAAGTACAAAAACAAAAATTAAATATCACTTACATACAATCTACTTTTTTTTCACTACATTAATTGATAAGAATGATCTTTAAGTTTAAATGATATATGGTAGTAAATGATAATCAATGATTATAAACAAAAAATGTCAATCGTTTTTATATTATGTGTCATATTATAATATAATTTGTTTGTCGAATCTAAAATAAAATTTTGTTATTTTTATGTTGTTTTCACTGAGCTTACGATGAAATATATATATATTTTTTCATCAAACACGTTTGAATTAATTAAAAAACAACAAAAGTAACATTTGAATTGTTTTTTTTTCAAAAAAATAATTTAATGATATTGGTTATTGTTGGATTTTTTTGTTCTTTTTTGTTTTTTTATTCATTTTTTTAACATCAATTGCAATAATAATTAAATGTTGGCAAAAATCGAAAAACTTTATAATTAAATTAAAATTGATGAAAATGCAAAATGTTATTACTTTTTTGATTTTTAATAAAAATGTTATTTAAAATATAGGGATCTTTAAGATCGTAAATTGGTAAAATATTTTACCAATTTTTTCTCTTTTTTGGTAAACAGGTAAAATGGATTTTACTTCATCCCTAGAGAAAAGTGAAGGGGTGGAATAAAGGAAAGTAAAAGACTGGAAAAAAAGAGAAATTCAATGGCGTGGGAACAGTATGTAGATTCTTTTCTTCTCGGTTGCGAGAAGGGGAACGGAGGGGCCATCGTTGGGTATGATGGCCTTGTCTGGTCTTGCTTTTCTAATGCAAACTTTGGTCTTACCCAAGAAGAAGCAAAAACTCTTGCCAAATCAGCGGCGGGGAACATTGAAAACCTTAAAACGGTTGATCTAATAGTTGGTGGGAAAAAGTTTGAAATCACACACGTCGATACTGAGAAAAATTGCGCGACAGCAAAACATGAAGACGGGGGGCTCTCGATGTACAAAACCAAAAAAACATTGGTAATTGGGTTCTACGCCAATAACAATACAACGCCGGAACAGAACGCGGAGGCGACGTACCACTGCGCAAAATATATGTTGGACTTGGATTATTAATATCATTGCAGATTTTCTTTATTCAAAACACCAACACAAGAGCCTTATTTAAGTTGCATTACTCTCAATTTGCGTTCCACTCAATGGTTGTCTACTTGAAATATAAAAGAAGTGATTTGTTCTGCCAGTTGAAACAAACCCAAACAAATGGAAGCCTTTAAAACTCACACAAAACAAATCAACTATACACCTTGTGTTAATTTCGCAACTCATTCATACTCCTCCTTGAAATACGCGTGTTTCAGTGCCTCACTTGCTGTGAAACGCTTGTCCATATCCAGTACAAGTACTTTGCTCAACAAATCGAGCGCCGCCTCCGTTGCGTATTCTTCGTTTTCTTTATTGATAAATTGTTTGAAGTCTGCGTCTGCCGTATTGGGAATTCCATCAAACACAGTTTTCCCAACGACACAGCCACACCTTTCAATGATATTCATCAACTCTTTCTTCCCAAAGAATTCAGCGATTCGTTGTAACATTTCTTCATTGGTGGCCCCTCTCCATAACGGTAACGCCTTTGACTGTCTAAATATGAGTGTCGCGAAGACTATTCCTGCGCCCCACACATCAATTCCATAATCATAATAAGTGTATTCAAACAGCAGTTCGGGTGCTTTGTGATATCGGGATGCTACTCGGTAATTCAGTGGTTTTTGTGGGTGGTAAAATTCCGCGAGTCCCCAGTCGATGATTTTGAAGACGTCTCTTTCTTTGTCGTAACACAAGTTCTCCGGTTTAATGTCTCTGTGCATCACTCCCAATTTATGCGACTCGTCCAACCCACTGAATAAGTGTTTCATATACAACTGAACTTCTCGTGGTGTAAATAATGGGAAATTTGTTCTAAAATCAACGCCTTGGACATACTCCATCACTAACGAATGTGTTTTGTTGTCGTTGTTGATCACACAGTCATACAACTTTCTTTGAATTCCTTTCAAATAGGATAAAACAATGTATTATTACTGATTAATAAAAATACTATAAATAATAGTACAAACCTTTATGACATCAGAAACCCGAGCGAGCCGTTGGAGGACGAGAATCTCCCGCTTCAGCCGCTCTTCTTTGATTGGTTTGAGCACTTTGATTGCACAGGGGTATTTTCCATTCTCGATAACACCAAGAAAGACATCGGAATATCTCCCACGACCCACTTTCTTTATAATGCGATATGAGTCGGGGTTCCCCCACTCGATTTCATTGCTGGAACTATTCCACTCGGACTCGGGGACAAAAGCAAGAGCAGTGGAATACACCCGACTGGTGTGGGGAACTTGTGTAGTTCTTATTGATATCGACATATTAAATATTTCTAGATCTATAGAGTATGACGGGTGGATTGAACGTCCTTCAGAAAAATGAGAAAAGAGCAACGAAAAAAACAAGAGGAGTAACATTTTTTAAAGAAGTAAAATTTGTAGTTTTGAATTTTTATTGAGAAGCAAACTATACTATTGCTATAATAATGCTATGAATTTACTAGTACGAAAAATGAATAAGAAATAATCTTGAAAATGAGTTGGAGCGATGGCGAAACGAGATATCGGAAAAATCAAAATGAGTGCTATTGACGTTTTGACCGACGAGCCGGAAGAGCAGTTTGTCAAAGAAATAATCGCAGCAATGAGAAAAATCCGAGATCCGCAATTTGAGAAATATGAGTGTTTGTGATTTTTGTCACTATATTTGAAAAACAAAACAAATAACAAAAAGTAAACAAAGAACAAATGCTCAAGTGCTTAAAGGACATTTCCCAAAATTTAGTTGAAAAATCACAAATCTGCCACGTCCCAAAGTGTACGCCCGAAAATTTGGCCGAAGCAGAAGCAAAACGTGAAAAATCACTTGCTGAACTCAACAAAAATAAACAACTGATCGCCGAAACCGAAAATCTGACAGCTCAGATTGCGGCAAAACAAAAGCAAATTGCAGCGCTGAAAAGTGAAACTGACGAGTTAATCAAGCAAGAGGCAGTTTTGGATGATGTGATCAAGAACACCAAAACGATCACAATAGATGAGGTTTGTTTTGTTTAATTACATTTAATCACAATAGATATACCAAATTAATAATATACTATTTCTATATTTTGAATGAATTTAAAGAACACTGACTAACACACAGTTTAAAAAGAAAGAGAAAGAGATTGAACAGAAACGGAAAGAAGTTGAAAGGATACGAAAAACGGTATCTGACATGAGAGAGACGATTAAAAAGAAGAGGGAGGACTATGAGAAGGACAAAAGTGCGAAGGAAGAACTTGAGAAGAAAATCAAAGAAGCGGAGGAATATTCAAATGGAGCAGAAACTAAATTGAAGACTATGAAAAGCGAAAAGGAAAAGGCTGAGATGGAGAAGGAACGTATTAAAAGATCATTTGATGTCGATATGTCTGAATTGTTGAGGAAGGAAAGAGAATTGGAGTCGAAAGTTGATGACATGAACACTAAAATTCGCAAAGGAGAAACTGATTTGGCTGGAGAGGGAAATACAATCGTCTTTGCGCAAACCCTTAACAACAGCACAACCAAAACTGATGATGATGATCTTTTGTTCTGATTGATTTTGTGTGAAGTTGTTTCGACTGAAAATTTTAATTTAAAATAAAATTATAATTTATTAAACTAAAATATAATAAATTAAACTAAATTTAATTAATTAATATTTATTATTATATTATTATATTATCATATTATTATATTATTATATTATTATATTATTTTAATTGAGAGTTTTAATAACAATAGTTACAAAAATATTAAAAACAAAGTTAAAAAATAGTTTGAATCACTTAATTATTGCTTTGAAAAAAATATATTTTTTTTTTTTCTATATAAAAGATTAAATGTTATACTTTTATAAGAATAAAACAAAACTGGGAAATCTCGATATTATTGTATATATTTCCTGTTTTTTAGAAGTATATTATGTGCATATCAGTACACAAGCCAAAAAAGAAAAACATCAATAATTGCCGAATATTACAGTAAAAATGAGTCAATTTAAAAACAAGTGCATTATTTTAAGTGTTAATACCGAAAGAACTGAAGCTAATGACAAACTTCAATCCCAAAACATAATGTCACTCCCACAACTTGACATATATTCAGTGCAAATAGTAAGTAACCACTTCAAAACAGCAGAAGACTATTTGAATGTGATTTGTGTGTGTAAAAAATATCAACACTTGTTAGACCGATTCAGGTATAACCCAATAAGTGTCGTTTCTACACGACTGTTTCCGTATATGGAGACACAACACTTGTACAGTGAAAGTGACAAAATTTTCAAAAAGACAAAGAAGACGATTGCGTGGTACCCAATTTTCTTTTTCAAGACGATGAAGTCGCCAAACATCACGTTCAAGAACGTCATTTTGGGACAGAATGACTTGAAGAACAAAAAGGTTCTAAAAATACCCAAAAACACGACAGCACTTGGCTTTAAAGCAATGGCAATGTTCCACTTGGCTGATATTGACATCCCATCAAGAATAACACGACTTGCAAATAAGTGCTTCTTCGAGATGGGACAACTCCAAAACGTCACAATTTCGGAAAACGTCTCGACGATTTCAGACGCGTGTTTCTCTGGATGTAGTTTGCTCACAAACGTCGTGTTGCCAAAAAACGTTGTGACGATTGGCGAGAGTGCTTTTAGACTCTGCAGTTTCCAGAGGATCAGTTTGCCTGAGAGTATTCTTCTTATTAAGCCAAACGCATTTGCTCAAAACTCTGCGCTCGAAGATGTTGTGATTCCACAAAATGTTGTTGTGATTGAGTCGGGTCTCTTTTCTTATTGTCATCGGCTTAGAAGAGTGGTGCTGCCTCACACCCTTAAAAAGATTTCTGAAAACGCGTTCAGAAATTGCTCTCGCGTTTCGATTATTGATGTGCCCAGTGGTGTCTTGTTTTGTGCCAAATACGCATTTAAACATTGCAGCGCCCTGCAACAAATGTGTTTGAACCAAAACTGCGTTGTTGGTGAAGGCGCGTTTTCGGGGTGCGACTTTTTGACGCACCTCGACATCCCTAATGAAGACGGTATGATTAAAGAATGTAAAGACCCCCAAGAGAAAGCCGTTTTAAGTAAGTTTTACACTGTGGCGAACAATACCATTCCAAGACCATATTTAAAGAAACTTGGAAGAAATAGTTTTGATGTTGAATTTGATAATAGCGCGAGAGGTCTTCTGTTTCAAATCACAAAAGAAAGTCTCGAAGGAATGAATCAAGGTTTGTCCAATGTGTTTGTTCCAGAGACAATTGAGTCTTTGGGTGGGCGTTGTTTCTCTTCGTGTTCGACTAATTTGTCTTCAATTGCCATTTCAGAGTCTGTAACGACGATTGGCGAAGGTGCCTTTTCAGGGTGTTCTCATATCATTGTACTATGTATTTCGCGAAATGTATTAGAATTTCCCAAAGAAATGTGCAAAAATTGTGAAGGATTGAAAACAATTGATTTTTCTCGGAATGTCTATAGCGTTGGAGAGTGCTGTTTTCAAAATTGTTGTTCATTAAAAGAGCTATCGTTTGGTGACTTTTGTGAAATTGGGATGGGGTGTTTCGAAGGGTGTTCTAGCCTTACGAAGTTGGTTATTCCTTCTGAGAATTCGACAATTAAATATAAAGTTGTGTACGAAGAAGTTCCACTTTTGAAAAAGTTGGGGTACACGTGCACAAGCGCACACGTCACATTCGACAAAGCCAGAAATCCTGAAAAACTTGTCTACAACATGCTTATGGAATTCAGTGGTGAAATATCAAGCACTTTTTGTGGGACTAATTTCAAGTTTTTAAGTGGGGTGACTAAGATTTGCAGTACCTTCTTCCATGACCAACACAATTTGAAAAGTATTGTTTTCCCTTCGACTTTAGTCGAAATTGGTGACAAATGCCTTTTGAACTGTGACAAGCTAGTTCGTGTGACTTTTCCGACGTCGTTGACAAGATTTGGAGACTTTGTTTTTGAGGGTTGCAAAAATTTGGTCGAGATCAACGGAATAACCACTTGGGGTGGTGTTGTGAGTGACAAAGAGAGGAGAGTTATTGAATTGTGTGGTATCAAATGTAGCAGAATATTATTGGACGGTGACGGGTTAGTTCAAAACAAAATGGTACCACCCAACACTGGGGCTTTCAGATGTTACACGGAAAATATGGAGTTGGAAGATGTTCTGGTTCCTCAGGGCGTTGTTGTAATATGCGAGGTGTGCTTTTCTCAGTGTTACAATCTGAAGCGAGTTTCTCTGTCGAATACATTGGAAGAAATTAGAGCAAGGGCGTTTGAACACTGTTATTCCCTCAGCGTCATTACAATCCCGGACTCTGTCACATTTATTGGCGAAAAGTGTTTTTATAGCAACTTGTCGCTTCAACAAATCAAACTTCCACTGGCTCTTTGTAACATTGGAGAAGAAGCTTTTGGCATGTGTACATCTCTTTGCTCAGTCACCGCGCCAAAGCGTGTATTGTTATCAGGGAAGTCGATTTTTTATCGCTGTGTATCATTAAAAGAAGTTGTTTGCTCAGGGGACTCAAACCACTCTGCATTTGATTCAAATATTTGTGCCCCAAGAGTGGCACCTTTCCGGTATTGTCAATCTTTGTCACAATTTGATATGCCAACAAATTTACTCGATCACAGTTTGTTGATGAATTCCTCGTTTTGTGGTGCGACTTCCCTTGAAACTTTTGTCTTTTCAAATTCCATCTGCCACCTCCCAAATAATCTTTTTGATGGATGTGTTTCTCTCAAAATCGTCATTCTTCCAGATTCACTAATCTCGATTGGGGCGTACACGTTCCACAAATGCATATCTCTAAAAGAGATAACAATCCCGCGTCATGTCGAATATATTGGATCGAAAGCTTTTGCAAATTGCAAATCCCTCGAAAAAGTGGTTCTTTGCAATAACATTTTTGAAGGCTCCAAAAATGTTTTTCTCGGTTGTGACAAAATAACAAGTTTTGTGATTGGTGGGCAGAACGTCGAGTGTCCGTACTCGGTTTGTTTCAGTGTGTTCGTTACTTTCCAAAAGAACAATATAAAACCAAGCCACGTTTTTATAACACAAGATGACTTAGCTTTGGTGGAAAAGGACATTAAAAAACCAAATTCTCAACTTGTCCAAGATATCACTGATGGCAATGTTGAAGTTGACAAGAACTGTTTCAAACTTTTCAACACAAAAACATAATAACATTTCTAATAACATTTTTGTTTTCAAATATAATTTCTCATTTAATTGTGTATTATTAAAATAAAACCATAATTTAATTATAATTATTAACTGAACTAAAAACAATTACACTTCTTTTTCAAACGCATTTCAATTTGCAAATTAATACGTCCACTTTTTATGACGCAATAAAGATTGTGTGGAGAGTGTTTTATTTATTATTTAAATTAATTACATGTCAAATACAAAACAACCGACCTAAAAAAACAAAATCAATTGAATACAGTGTCAGGCCTAGTCAACTTAATTTTGAACAGTCCGAGTGCGTGGCAGAAGCAGTTACACGTGTGCTTGATACCCATTTCGAGGTCTCTCTTCCAAAAATAGAATTTAGCAACGCCAGTCGACTTCAGAACAACGTCAGTGATGATTGGACTGCCTGCTATTATGCCACGAATTGCTATTATTTTGAGTGTTTCCTCAGACGCCAGAAAAACGAAGTGCATGAATGTTTGTATGATTTGGTTGTCTTCCAAATTAACAACATCTTTGGCTTCTCTAAGCGCGATCGCCCGACAATACCCGTTTTTATCGTTGTCCGAAAGAACAACAGGTGGGACCATCTCTACGTGATGATTTGAAAACCCGCATTGTGCGCACCGCGCATTGAACTTCTTCACAAGCTCTTCGATAATTCTTTGTGCCTCGTAAAAGTCCATCACCTCGTCATACGACCCTGTGCCAATTATATCTGCCCGTCTTCTTTTGTCGCCCGAGACTTCAAAATACATTTGTCCCTTCTCCTTTATTATCTCCACTGGGTATTCCACGGTTTTTGAAGGAAAAAATAGGGGGAGCGGTGACACCTGTGGAATTGTGACAACGACGTTCTCCGACGAGTATGTAAATGGTACATTATAATTGGTGTTGACAAAGTACTGTAGCACAACCGGAGGCACTCGAAATATGTCGTCCGGATGTTGCTGTTCCTCATTTTCAGCGCCAAGAAAGTACAAATTCCTGAACCCCCGCACCGCGTAAATGTTTTCTCTTTCCACACTTCTCAATTTCGAGCACTCAACAAAAATCAACGAATTACCACATTTGATGGGCTCGTTCCGCAACTTCTCAATCTCTGTTTTCAAAATTTGATAAGTGGAACCACATTCTTTAGTTTTTGAACTATCAGTGAATAGTTTCTCCGGGTTTTCAAAAATTGTATTGTTTTCGTTTTGACCACTCTCCTCCGATAAAAAATACGTTTGTCGAACAACCTCGTTATGACAAATCGATATAACGGAGAAGTGGTTTTCAAGCCCCATCTTTTTGACAAAATAAAAAACAGCAGCGTGGAATTCGAAAATGTCTGTGTTTATCGTTTTGTTTTCAGAAAACTCTGTGAAAAAATAGACCTCAAGCGGTTTGTAAGGGCACAACACATTCATTCGAAAGAGTGACAAAAATGAGTTTTGAAGTCTGAAGATCTTTTCAAATTCTCGTTTGGTTATCACGTCACCGATTCGCTTCCGCGCAATCTCAAGTGATGACTTGAAAAGATCTTCAGTGTTTTCCATTTGACTTATTTTAGTTCTAATTTTTAGTTTTAATAATAAATCAATAATTATTATGGCTTTTTTTTGATGTATAAATGCCGTCTTGTTCTGTCAAAAATGGGTTGAAACGTCACGTTCTCAATCTTAGATGTATTGAATAAATCATTTTTATAAGTTTGTCTTATTTTCTTTAAAACTTGTATCATTGAAGTTTTTTTTTAATCTCAAAAAAATTGTAAAAGTTATTTATTTTGTTATTGTTTTGTGTTAAAAACTTATAATAAAATAAAAGCTTATATCAAATCTAATTATTTAACTATTCTTTGGCTTAATTTTAAAAATTAAAATATTATTATAGGTTTAATTGATAATAAAACGTTAAATTGGTTTAAAAATAATTTTCGAAGAGTTGGAACTCAAAATAATTCAAATATTTTTGAAAAAAAACTATACATTAATTATAAAAAAGCTTTATAATATAGTAAATTAGAATATCAACAAAAAAGATTAAAAAATGAGTGAAAGTGTAAGAACGACACGACAGAAAAAAGAGGAAAATAGAGACGAAAACAAAACGTTTAAATCATTGAGCAGAACGACTTCTTCTTTTCTGGTTTGGCCTTCCCGTTTCCTTTACTGAGGTTAGCCTTGTCGTCGGTCTTGCTTGGGGTGTTGGAAGTTTGCAAGTTCTTCATGATGTCTGTAGCAATCTTGTTGAAGAGTTCGTCGACGTTGAGCGCCTTCTTGGCGGAACTCTCCATAAAGGAAACGTTCAGTGAGTTCGCCAACTCTTGGCCTTGCTCGACTGTCACAGCACGCTCATCCTCTAAATCACATTTGTTTCCAATCAACAACTTAATTACAGACTCAGAAGCGTATCGCTCAATCTCTTGAAGCCATTGTCTCACATTTTGGAATGTTTGAAGATCAATCACTGAGTATACGACAATAATGCCCTGGGCTCCTCTGTTCTATTAGTCCTGTTTTCTCCAACTATTCCAAGTTATTTATGGCATGTGATGATTAAGAACTCATTGGGGTTCTATTTTTGATACAAGAATAAAAACAAACCTATAATATGAAGAGGTAATAGTTCTGAATCTTTCCTGTCCTGCAGTATCCCACTAACGTGTTAGTATTGGCTGTATATGAAGGGCTATATAACAACAAACAATTTGTAATTTAACGTTTAAGCCGTTGATTTGGACTGTCTTAATTTTGAAATCGACACCAATGGTAGCAATGTGTGTGTCGGTGTAAGTGTCGTCGGCAAAACGGAGGAGCAGACATGATTTCCCGACACCAGAGTCCCCAATGAGGAGAAGCTTAAACAAGTAATCTTTTGGATCAGACATCACCTTCTTTAATTTTTCAGTTCAGTTTTTCTTTTCTATTTTTATTTGTCGTTTTTTCATATTTCTTTCCCCCTTCTTGGCTCTTTTTTCATTGAAATAATTCCAGTTTTTTTGAAATGATTTCCAAGTTCTTGTCTTCTAAGCATTTGAGACTTTTTGGCATAGATGCCCAACCAAAACTATATTTCTTTTTATAGTCGTTCTTTATTATATTTTTTGATTTTTTTGTTATATTTTTACTATTCTAATTGTTTCAAGATGGAAAAAAAATGATGAGAAAAAAAAGCTGATTATGCCCTCTTTATTTTTTCTTGGAACTATTTTTTTGAGTTTGCCTCAACAAATGTAATTTATACAATGTAATTTTTTTATTATAAATTTTATTAGTACTCAAATTCTCGTTTTAGCTTCTTTTTCTCAAAAAAGTTTATTAATAAATTAATTATTTTAAAACATATTTTATTTTTACTATAGTTATCATAAATTAAACTAAATAAAATAATTATCAAAGTTTGGGGATTTGAGTTTTAACTTTAAAATGAAATTTTTTAAAATAATTTAAAGAAAAAATTGACCAATCACATTTGAATTGTCAATCTTATAGTTTAAAATAAAATAAATTTCAATAAAAATGAGGAACAAAAAATTTTCAAAGAGTTTATTTCTTACAAAAGCTATTAATCAAAAAGAATTAATAATTTATAATATATTAACTATATTATCTAATATCTCTATAATTATAATTAAAAATTATATAATAAATTTTTATTAATAATATGAAAATATTTTTATAATACAAAAAATTATCAAAATTAATAATTTTTTTTCAAAAAAAACATAAAAAACATTTGAATAACAAAAAGAAAAACAATAAAATCAATCGTCGAATTTTTCTACTCGTTTTTCAATTCTTTTTGGGTTTTTCCCCTTTTGTTTTTGATGTTTCTGCTCTCTATATTCAGCCCTCTTTTCGTTCTTTGATCGTTCGTCTTCGACTTCAACAACAGTTGTGACTTTGACTGCTTTGGGGTCGATGGGATGGTGTGGGGAATATGATTTAATATTGTCCACAGAGCGTGGGACTGCGCGTTGGGCCTTTGGAGCGTGCAGTTCTACCTCTTGGACGCTTTTAGCGTGGCTTGACATTTTAACACTGTTTGTCTTCAAAGTTTTTTTCTTTTTTATTTGCATGGATTTTTTTTGAGTGACTGCCCAATTCTGTTGTTTCCTTTCGTTTCTTTTTGACGTCCGATTTGTGTTGCAATCTCCCGTTTTTTGAGTTTGTTTCGCCGCAATCATTTGAGATTTTTTTGACTACTTTATTTTTCATTTTTGGTTTATTTGTGGCATTTTATTTTTTCATAATTCCACTTTCGTGTTTTTTAGGGTTTTTTTTTTAAACACAATAAAACGTACGGTTTCGGGATTTCAAAACGGTATTTTTTGAGTCTTGACTTGAATTACGACTTTCCCGCATTTTTTCGGGAAGACTTTTGTATGGACTTTATCTGTTAATTATATTATACATTTATAATAACAAAACTTTAAAATATAATATGAAAAAAAATTTGATTGATTAAATTACAGAAAAAACTAAACACATTTTGGAATAATAAAATAACCAATAATTTATAGTATAACAACTTATAAACAATGGTTCCCTTATTTTAAATCAAAGTTTTAGTTTTCTGATTTCTTTCTTGTCGAAATCAATTCGCAAAGTCATAATGAGTTGCGTTTCGAGTGGGAGTAGTTTCCACCCTTTGATGTTTTTGTATTCGTAAATTTCGTCTATTTTGTCAAACGAAAGAACCGTTCCAATCTCTTTTAATTTTTCAAAAGTGAGTAGTGGAATTCCATAACGTTTAAAGACGTTTTGGATTTGAATAATCTTTATATTATTTCATTCTATTACTAATTTATTTTGTTACTATTATTATATTGAACAATTTGCTTACAATAACAACGTCTTGTGTAAGTTCAAAGCTCCATATTGACTATATGACTTCTTT